GCCTTCATGTTGCAGGGAGCAGCTACTCGCCTTCATGTTGCAGGGAGCAGCTACTCACCTTCATGTTGCAGGGAGCAGCTACTCACCTTCATGTTGCAGGGAGCAGCTACTCACCTTCATGTTGCAGGGAGCAGCTACTCACCTTCATGTTGCAGGGAGCAGCTACTCGCCTTCATGTTGCAGGGAGCAGCTACTCGCCTTCATGTTGCAGGGAGCAGCTACTCACCTTCATGTTGCAGGGAGCAGCTACTCACCTTCATGTTGCAGGGAGCAGCTACTCACCTTCATGTTGCAGGGAGCAGCTACTCACCTTCATGTTGCAGGGAACAGATTCTCACCTTCATGTTGCAGGGAACAGCTACTCACCTTCATGTTGCAGGGAGCAGCTACTCACCTTCATGTTGCAGGGAACAGATTCTCACCTTCATGTTGCAGGGAACAGCTACTCACCTTCATGTTGCAGGGAGCAGCTACTCACCTTCATGTTGCAGGGAGCAGCTACTCACCTTCATGTTGCAGGGAGCAGCTACTCACCTTCATGTTGCAGGGAACAGCTACTCACCTTCATGTTGCAGGGAGCAGCTACTCACCTTCATGTTGCAGGGAGCAGCTACTCACCTTCATGCTGCAGGGAACAGCTACTCACCTTCATGTTGCAAGGAGCAGCTACTCACCTACATGTTGCAGGGAACAGCTACTCACCTTCATGTTGTTCTCACCTTCATGTTGCAGGCGCACACAAAATCGTCTCTATGAACTACCCACAACACCGTGATTGCAATTCCTCATCACGTGACTATACCGTAAAACAAACAACACACACACCACACACACACACACACACACACACACACACACACACACACACCACAACACACAGGTATGAGAAAGCTCACGGTTCAGGGACAGTGACCTAGCAGCGACCAGTGAAGAGGCGGGGCCTGGAGCTAGGACTCGACCCCTGCAACTTCAACTAGGTGAGTGCAACTAGGTGAGTACAACTAGGTGAGTACACACACACACACACACACACACACACACACAACACACACACACACACACACACACACACACACACACACACATACACACACACATACATACACACACACACGCACACACACACTGACTTGTTCGCTGGAATTCACGTACGCGAGCATTACAAGCCAGGAAGCATGGTACGTTGAGACTACAAGCGAAATAAAAGCCTCTGTCGCCCAGTTGCTCGGGACAAGACTGACCAAACATGCAGGTTTAAGAGCATCGCCGGCTTGCATCTTAATCGGGTTCAGTAGTATTCAAGAGATGAGATTCTGCATCCTGCAGTTAGTTATGATGTTGATAGTCGATGTGTCTATTAAGCCGGCAAAATTAATTATAAGAGAAATTATTCTGAATAACTCTACAGGCGGTTGTAATAATAAAAGTATTATTAATAGTATTATCAGTATAATTATTAGTATTTTGAAAGGCTTGTAGAGCACCTTGTGATACGATGAAGAAGTAGGTAGCTTCATTTCTTGGATCAAGACACTCTTGAAAGGAGGCAGTACAGTAGTCACTGAAAGAGGGCAGAGTAATGGAAAGGCTTCAGGGAGGATAATAAATAGTGGGGTAAGGGACGTTGAACACGGACATAATAGCTGTGAACGTCAAGAACAGTTGAGGGTAAACAAACACACACACACGCACGCACACACACACACACACACACACACACACACACACACACACACACACACACACACACACACACACACACACACACACAAAATTGAGACAATAGACTCTACATCAACGAGAGTACCGGACACAATATACACAGCAGGGGTTGATGGAACTATTTAAGGCAGCTATATACCTCGAAGGTAGAAAAGCCAGGCAATATCTCTTCGTGGATTTTGTAAGCGAGAACAGAAGCACTGTGTGAAGCATTAGACATAATATTTATATGAAAATTGATACAGGGTAATTGCCAGAGGTGTAGAACACAGCAGACGCAGATCCATTGTCGAAGGGAAAAGGCAAGTCTCATTACACTACACTAGTGTCACTGCCACTCATAGTATGTAAGCATATGGAGAGGATAATCAGAAGAGTAGTGGAGCAATTTGAATGGAGAAGGTTCGTATAAAGCAAAAACCATGGTTTTAGAGATGGTAAATTCGGTCTCGCAAATCTTTATAAGTCCTGTGATAAGGCAAAAGAAGTGAGGTAGAAGAGAGGAATGGAATGACTGCATATTTTTGGACTGTGAGAAGGTTTCTGACACAGTACTACACTAGAGTGCGAAACAAAAGCTAGAGGAGCAAACATGAATAACAGAAATAACTGCAGGAGATAAAGGAATGCTTTGCATGACGTCAACAAAAAGTGACCTTAAATAGGCATTAAAATGGGTATGATAGGTAGGGCTTTTACAAGGGCCAGCAATGGGATCTCTATTTCTGGTGTACGTGAACGACTTGAGAAATAGTCTGATCTCATTTATCTCGGATTA